AAAAAAAAAAAAAAAAAAAAAAGTGAGAAGGGCACCGGAGCTTTTAAAACAATGGCAGTGCCCTACAAAATGGAGACAAACGAGTAGGTAAATAAATTGAATACAACCGCCTGGAGTTGGTGAACAAAGGCTTCCCACTTGCTTAGCTTTTCATGCATCTTTTCAACACATCTCTCTCTCTCTCTCTCTCTCTCTCTGAAAAAGATTAGTAATCTTCCTGGGCTGGACTTTTTCACTCCTATACTATCCATAAAAGCTCAGACCGATGTGGGTTTCAGATCGTAACGCCCTAGCCCCAAGATCCACCGCTAGCAGATATGATTCTCTTTGGACTTTTCCTTTCGGGCTTTCCCCCTCAAGGTTTTAAAAATCCACCCCTTTCAGGGCCAAGCCTCCTCGCTGGCACTCTTTCCTTCCTCCAATCGATGTGGAACCGCTCCTAAATCCACCCCTCTTTGGGGCCAGCATCCTTACTGGCACACCGCCTCGTGTCTACCCCCCTTCGGGGAACAGCGAGAAGGCTGACATATCGTCCGGTGTCTGGCTCTGATACCATTTGTAACGCCCCAGATCCACCGCTAGCAAATATTGTCCTCTTTTCCCTCAAGACTTTAAAACGCGTCTACTAGGGGAAGGTTTCCACATCCTTGTAAAGGGTGATTTGTTCTCCTCCCCAACCAACGTGGGACATCATATCAATCCAGAAAGCTCACCAAGAGGCCAAGGCCAAATGTTTTCCAGATCGGAACATTTTTGGTTTAATCCTAAGATAACAAGCAATGAAAATGAAAGTAGTAAGCTAAAAGTCCTTTGATTTCATTAACAAAATGATGTTCTCAAGAAAAGTAAAATGTCTTCTGAAGTAACTTTACACACAAAGCAACAAGAAACAGTAAAGATTGGCATCATAAGGAGTACGCCACTAAAATAGCATAAAAGTGCAACTTATCCTATTGTTTCAATTTACAGAAAATCTATGCAAAATGACAAAAAAGGAAGGGCCAGTGTGGGCAATAATTGGATTATAAAACCAGTCAAACACGTGGAACCTAGAATTAAACCAGTAGATAGAGTGTAGAACATGAGAGTTAAGCAGAAATGGTTACTGTTTTTATCAACAGCCACCAGGGACAGGTTGAAATTGTGGTTAGAGCCAGCTACAACATCCGAAAATGGCATCTGCAAGCACCCAATAGCAATAATGAATTAGTGGTCAGTCTAGTAGTTCATTCACCATTGAATTGAGAATTAAGCGGGTATAGAAAGGACGAGCAACACACATACCCAAGGAGACCCCGGCCATGCCATGATCTGGGTGTCACTGTTAAATTAACTGGAGTACCATGCCTCGTAACCACAACAGGTATTGGACGACCTTGATTACTCTGTGCTTCAGAGGCAAGCCTATGCAGCAGATCATCACCGCCTTCTACATTCCCAAATTTAAGAACTTGATCGCCTAGTTGTAATCCATCATCTGCTGCTGGCGATGCATCGGCTATTTCGTCAACCAGTGCAAAAGGTATACCTCCATTTGCATCTATGTCCATTGCAGTGGACGATACATTTGAGGATGGTAATGCAACAGTTGTGACAGATGACCTTTGGCCATTTGAAACCTCTGTATTCCCTAATAGATGCATGAGATAGGTAGAATCAGGATTGATCCCATGATAATTATTCCTAATGGCACACACATCACGAGACAATTTTCAATAGAGATATCTGGAGGTGATTCTAGTACAGGATATCTGTACTTGGGAAATCAGCAGGCATGTGATGGCTTTACTATTCTGGTTATCACTATTGTTACTTCTGTTTCACAAGAAAGTTTCATAAGAACAAAATTCTTGAAAAGGCAACGATAAATTCCCCCACAAAGACAATAAGGCAACACAGAGGTACCAAATTATATAGTTGAGAAGGGCATTAAAACGAAGCAGAATCCAAATGATATATAGTTGAGAAGGCCATTAAAGTTTAATCGGGAAGGGCAATAAATAAGAAGCCCACAAAAAGGGGGAGCCAAGCAACAAACTATGAGTGTAGAAGTGTGGAAACCTCCCTGAGTTAGTTAACTATGGCATAGAAATTCTAGTGCAGCCGCAACTGAGGCATGCAAGGATAAACGATGTGTTATTCTGCAGCATAGCATCTATCTCACAATTACCTGCATCCTTAGAGAGTGACAAGCTCGAAGCAGGCTTTGCAGAATGCAAAACTTGTATGTTCTGATTAATCTTTTCAGTGATCTCCGTATGGTCATTTCTCAGCTCTACAAAAAATAGAATAGCAGGTCAACATTTCAAAGTATAATAATTTGTGAGAAATGTTATAAAATGAAGAAATCTTCATTTAGTGATATGCTTGAAGAAAATAAGTCGATATTTAGTATCAGGAAGACATTAATAGCGAGCCTCTTGATCTACTATTTGCATCCCACCATCCAAAATGAAAAAGCAAGTAGACAGTGGACTTACAGAGGCATTCAGAACTCAGAAGTAATATCTCACTATGAGAAACAATAAGAATAAATTCCACATTTTGATTCATACACCTAAGTCGCAGAATAGAGAAGAACACATTTCCAACTTAGGCTGGTCAGAATTTTCGCATATTTAACTTCTTGCGCTCAATTCAGATCCTTACCTCCACTCCCCTAAGATACCCTCTCATTCGGTTTAGAAACCTTCTACGAGCATTTCCCCTTTGCTAATTTTGGCTTCAAGCTTCAAACTCGAGAGCATTGGTCGTGGAGAGTCAATAAGCCTATGCAGGCCTAGGGTTTACAAAAATGGGGTATTTTCCAAGTGAGTCTGTGTATAGAAGTACTATGCATCCAAACCTACCCGGGAATGAAATTTGAACCGAAGGCTATAGACATGATTTTAGGTCCCATAAAACACAAAAACGTAGTTGCATGTGTTTGTATTTCCCAACTCTAGTAGTGGGATCACTTATTGAGTATTATTAAATACTCATCTTATTATTATTAAACATTTTTCCTTCCAAGTAAAGGCAAGGATCCTATTTACAAATGATGGCGTCTGTTGAGGAGGTCATAAAATAAAGCCATAGACAACCTTTTCTGCATTCTAGTAATAATTCATTGTTAGGATCGCTTAGTAATGTTTTCAGTTGAATTACTTTTAGGGGATGTTTTATCTTTATTTCAATTGTGATTTTGTTATGTTTGCAACTACATGAATATTTATGTCCATGACAAACTTCAATATGAAATGTGTTTAAAAAGTTCTACATACAAACCGATCGTGCCATGCATGTAGAGTCGTTACATAGAATTTCTTTTATTGTAGTATCCATTAACTCTAAGATTAAAGAGATCTCGTTGGAAAGTTTGAACCGACTTAATATTTTTTTTTACTCTGCCTTACTAAAACTTTTTTGGGTTTCGCCATCCCCTCTAAGATAGGGAATTGTTGGAGGCCTCTACCTTTCTTTTACTTTTGAGTTCTTGAGGGGACAAGGGTATTCTTGGACCCCTGCCCGTCTTAGGGCTTCTCTTCCAATTCATTCTTCTATCTTTTGATTGTTCCCTTAATTTCCCCTGTCATCCCTTTATTTGTCTTGCTCTGGAAGGCTTAGATTCCAAAAAAAGGTTTAAGTTTTTTGCCTAGCAAGTCAGTCTTCCATAGGAAAGTCAATACTTTAGATTGTAATGATTTGCTTGTTTCAAAAAATATTTTAGGACTTCGGTGATGAAGGACTTCGTAATTATTGATTAAGATTCATTCTCTAAGATTGAACTCTCTGTTTTTTTATATATAGTTTTTTAGGTTCCTTTTATTGGACCAGTTTTTATGCCTTGTAGATTCTTTCCTTTGTCTCGAAAGTTTGGCTTCTAAAAACAAAATTTTGTACTCTCAACTATTACTATTAAAACACTCTTTACACCATAACTACAACTATGTTTACAATGAAAAGATTAGCAATCTACCAGTCAGCTGACGACGCTCAGACCTAATAACTGGAATGTCAATGTCCGAACGAGGAAACCCCTGCAAAAGATATTAAAAAATAGAGTACAAAGTAAGTTTTAAACAAACTAAATGTAATCAAGTTACTGCAGCAATCAATCAAGCTTCTTCTGGACTCAGCTTTACCAAAACTACTATCAATTTCCACAAGCATTGTTTGAATTTTTGTAATCCAAACAAATTCCAACCCCGTTCATGGTCAATTACCAAAGCTTTTCAAGATCAATATCCAATAAATTTTCCATCGAGCATGAACAAGTCTTCAAAACAACTTTCCAAGTACAACTCAGCAAAGGAATCAAAAACAAACTCTAATTGTGCTTGTTAGTTTTTAGCTACTCCACAAAACCTCAAAAGAAAGCATTGTAATCGTGCATGACAAGACTAGCCGACCGAAAATTTCCACTACAGAGTTCGGAAACAAAACCTAATCAACTAGAGGAACTGCAATAAATTTGATTCGTTCATGGAAGTCGAGAGAAAAGAAAGGCATTGCAATCACCTCAGAGTCGACGAGATTCCCAGAGAGTCCAGGACCTCTAGGCTGACAAAGGCGCGAAATGATGGCATCCATCTGGGCCTCGATAGCGCTCCTCTTCTGCATCAGATCCATAGTCTCCGACTTCAAATTGGAAGCCACCATTTTTCCCGATCCAAAGCTTTCAAAATGGAATTGAAACAAATGGCAACATCAAAAGTTTCTTCTCTATTTAAGTATTGAGAAATCGAATCCATTCAAAGCCCAAAATAATTTCTCAGAAAATAAAAAAAGGCCCAAAAGAAATTCCAAAAAATAAAAGCCCAAAAAGAAAATGAGAATCCAAAGCCCAATCTCCAATAAAATATATATGGAATTTTTTATATTTCCTTTGCTAAATAAATAAATAAATAAATAAATTCTAAAATTTTCAAAAAAATTAAAAAAATACTTTTATCATTAGTTTTGGACGGAAATGGTTAGTACATTATTTCAAAAATACCCTTAAATTTTAAAAAATTTCATTAATACCCTTTAAATTCTAAAAAAAAAAAAAATTAAATACCCTTACAGCTAATATTATGTTTAAAAAATACCCATGAAATTTTAAAGGTATCATTAACCTTTAACTTTTATAAGAAGATTATCACCCAGTTTAATGTTATTCGGTAAAGTTCATTAGTATTTTTGAAACATTATATTAACCGATAAAATTAATTTTGAAGTTCTTATAAAAAGTATATAGTGTTGGATGACGAAAAAAAGTTCCACATCGGCTAATTTAGGGAATGATCATGTGAGTCCCACATTGGTTAGGGAGAAGAACAAACCACCATTTATAAGGGTGGAAACCTTCCAACGCGTTTTAAAGCCTTAAGGGGATGCCCAAAAGGGAAACCTCAAAGAGGACAATATGTGCTAGCGGTGGATCTTGGTCGTTACCGATCATGGGTTTATAATCAAGGAATACTTTCTCCATTGGTATGATGCATTTTGGAGAAGCCCAAAGCAATGCCATGAGAGCATCATACCATTGTAGAGAGTTGTGTTCGTCTAACATAATAAATTTATCAATAAATTTGAGCAAAAACGACATGAGAGATCTTTCACATTCGATCACGTGGGAAAATTATGAACAAGTTCGATGACATTTTCGCTTCTATCAACCTCTAGAAAACAAAGAGGACCAATTTTTTTTTTTTTTTTTTTTTTCAATAATGTGATGAAAAAAAATGCATGTGAGAAAGGATGGTTTTAATTTTTTTAAAAAAATATAATTTTATGCAACATTTAATTTAAAATTAAATAGTTTTGAAAAACTATTATTATTATTTTTAATTAAAATTAGGTGAATTAATGCAAATTATGAAATTAAATACGACGAAATTAAAAATTAAGGTGTAATTGCTTTAATTCGCTTGAAAATATTCGTTAAAAACATAATATTTATAATCAAATATATTTAAAAATTTATGAATTAAAATAAAAGGAAAAAATAAAATAAATAAATAATACTTAAATATTAATCGGAATATAACTCAACCGTTAAAATGATATATTTTAAATTAAAAAGATAAAAATTGGAATTTCCACATTTTATAGTTTGAATTTTAATTATATTATAAAAAAGGAAAAAAAAAATAATAAATATAAAAATTAAAATTAAAAAAATAAAATAAAATAAATGGAAAGTCACTATAGTTACCTTTTCATTTTCGCTCGTTTAATCATAAAAACTTTAAAATTAAATTAATAATTACTCAAAAAGAGTTGATTAATAATTATTTGAACGCCCCATGTCCCAAATTTAAAAAAAAATTACTAAAAAAAAATTAATTATTTAGAAAAAGAAACTATAAATGGTAAGAAACAATATAAAATAAATCCACAATAATGAAAATTGTCTTTTTCGTTGCCAACAATAGAACGGAAAGACATAGAAGAGTGGAGAAAAGAAAACGAAGGGCACATTCAAATAAGAACGTGTCACGTTTTTTGATGGCAGTGCACCTCCACATATTTTGTTCGAGCATGGTAGTCTCAATGAAGTGGTACCAAATAGTCAACTTTCTAGTGTAAATCCTCTATTAAAAATTTCAACCATGTACTTTCTTTAGTAGCTCTAACGGTATACTTTGTTTCTATAGTTGATAATGTTACTATTGGCTGTCTTCTATTGCATCGAGAAATGTTCCCAAACCGAGCTTGAACACAATGGTTGATCTTCGAGTATCGTGACCTCCCGCATAGTCAGCATCACAGTATCCATCTAGCTTACCGTTTTTACTTTTGATATATCTCAGGATTCGTCGAGCCACATCCAAATAAGGTTTCTTCGGACTTTACATATACTGACTCATGACTTTAACTACGTTCTCAAACCCTTCTGGTTGGTTCATTTAGATCTCTCGATCTAACTTTACATACAAGAAAACATTCTTCACATCCATCTGTCATAAGTTTCAATTTTTACTCATCACAAGATAAGTATCAATCTGACTTTTACTTGATCGATTAAAATAAATCAGTCGAAAAGTTAGATGTTCAAATCTTCAAGAACGAACATTTTGTTGTTTGAATCGAGAGGATAACTATGAAATTAGGCATACAAAAATCGTGCTTGTTTCATATTTGTCTTATAGATGTGACAAAAACAATTCATGATTCTCTCTCTTAAATTATAGCCATGAGTTGTACGGTGGTCCATGGTTATTATTATTATTTTTTACATATAATATTTTAATGACGTGGATTTTTAAAATTAATTTTTAATAATATATAGACACGTGTTGGATGATAAGGATAATGTTTAAAAGTTTTGGAGCCATTGGATGCAATTATTGATTTCTATGGACCAATTTAGTAAAGGTTTTTTCAAATTCTAAATTTTAAAATAATTAAAAGTTTTTATTTTATTATTATTTTTATATAAAATTCCAGATAAAAAAAATTGCTTCATTTTCTAAAAATAAAATAAAAAATTAAATAGTTAATAATTAAATTAGTTTCTTGTTTTAGCATTAATTGATTAAAAATATGTATTTTTTTTTTTTATCATTTCTAAAATGCTTAGTAAAATTTAAAATTATACACTCTTAAAAATATATTTATTTAGAACTTTTTTTATGTAATATTATTATTCTATCCCGTTTAATAATTATTTTCTATTTTTCACTCTAAACTTTATACTCTTAAAAAAAATTAATAAATATTTTATTCAATATAATATTTCTGCAAGAATTTTTAATAATACCCTAAAAAATGCCTTTAAATATTTTACTTTTAAAAGGATTTCCAAAATATATTTTAATATATTTTAACTTTCAAAATTATTTAAAAAATATCTTTAAACTTTTTTAAGTAATCGTAAAACTTGTTTTAAAAATAAAAAAAGAATATTTTTTATAGTTAATATTGATTTTAAAAAATACTCGTGAACTTTCAAAAATAACATTAACAAATTTAAAAATAATATATAAAGTATATATATATATAGTTTTCGTCTATATATTAATGGTAATACTTTTTTTTTAAATTTTGTTTTTGTAAAAGTAAAGGGTGTTATGATATTTTTAAAATTTAAATGATATTTTTGAAATAAGATGGGAAACTATTGTTTAGAAATATTTTTTAAATACAATATAAAGTTTATGGGTATTTTTATTTATTTATTAATTTATCGAATTTTTTATTCTTTCTATTTTATTTCACCCTCTCTACCTTATCGTTTTCTCTTCAAACCAATTAATACACAAATTTTGCACGTGAGAAAAATAGTATAAATAGACAATAAAAGACAAAAAAAAAAAAAAAAAAAAAAAAAAAAAAAAAAAAACAAAAAAAAAAAAAAACAAAAAACAAATAAAAAATAACAATGTGTGGTTTTAAAAAAATAATATAATAAAAGTTACGTTCATCTTTGCCAAGATGATCTCTACCTCTTAGCCAATGGCTGACTATAAATAGGTGTTTTGGGTTCCTTCACCAAACCACAACACTCACTTTCTTCTTCTTCCTCCTTTGAGACTTACCTCATTTTGGTCTGTTGTTTTGTTGAGTTCATGGCTGACATAGCTCGTGTCACTCTTGGCCTTACTCGCCCTGGCCCAAGCAATGCCCCTAAGGTTTGAGACTTAGCTCATCTACTTGTTCTTCCCATTTCTTTGGAAGCCCCTTAGTTTGTTTGAGTTTTCTTGGATTTAAAGGGTTGAATGTTCGTTTGTATATTGTTAAGATTAATGGGTTGCGAGCATCAATAGAGATGTTCATTTAACTTGCAGGAAACTGAATCAGAGAGAGTGAAAAATACTTATTTGAACGGAGAATGGAGCGGGAGTGGAGAGAGATTTCTCCTAAATGAGGCTAGAGATGAGTTAATATTCGAGTCTCTGTCTCTAACCCTACTTAGTTTAAATATTTCCACAATGTGGAAGCTTGTGAGACCCCACATTGGTTAGAGAACGGAACGAAGCATTTCTCATAAGGGTGTGGAAACCTCTCCTTACTAGACATGTTTTAAAACCATGAAGTTGATGACGCTACATGATGGGCCAAAGCGGATAATATTTTCTAGCAATGGGTTTAGGCTGGTACAAATGATATCAGAGCTAGACATTAGGTAGTGTGCTAGCAAGGACGATGGGCCACCAAGAGGTGATTGTGAGATCCCACGTCAGTTGGAGAGAGGAACAAATCATTCTTTATAAGGATGTGAAAACCTCTTCTTAACGTACACGTTTTAAAGAAAGAGAACAATTTTTTTTTATAATGGTGTGGAAACTTCTCCTTAACAAACTCATTTTAAAACGGTGAGACTCACGGAAATATATTATAGGCCAAAACTAATAATATCGGCTAGTGGGGGCTTGAGCGTGATCTCTTACAAATTTATTAAAAATGGAAACTGAAACAGGAGGCAAGAATCGAAAAACAAGAATGGATAAAGCTTCCTAATCTTTATCCTACCTCGTGGACATCTCTAAGCATATCTATAGAGTGTTCATACGTTTGCCACGAGGTACTAATGGAGTATGTTAACTGTTTGTTAAAATGCCCCACAGATAAGTTTTGTTGCAAAAGACCTTGATGTATTGGAATGGAACGGAGACTTGGTTGCCGTGGGTGTGAGAGAGAAGGATGTGGAGAAGGATGAAGCGGGCCACTTCAAGAATCCCCTTTTGTATCAATTGAATGAAGCCTTGGGTGGAT